AGATTTGTTCAGAGAGGCTTTTCACTTTTGCCTTCTTCTGAGACCGAGAGACTGTGTCTAGCCTAAAGTCACCCACCAAGTTTCCATTGCTATGTGGGGAATCAAACTCTGGTCTCCAGAGAAATAGTCTAAAACTCAAACCACCACTCCACATTGGCTTTCTTATAGTTCTTAAACGAGATCATTTTGTGTAGACCTTCGAATAAAAAGCACAACAGAATTTATTTAGACTGCCTCCATACTACACAGTTCTACTACTTCCATCCTACTTTAAGTGCCATGGATTCATTCTATGGAATTCCGGTATTTGTAGTTTGGTGGTGAATTTAGAATGTTTTATTGCACTGCCTTGAATCACCAGTAGAGCATTCTAAACATCCCACAAAATTACAAATCCTAACATTCCACAGCATAGGTAGGACAGAAACCATTATACACACAGTGAAGGAGTCCAAGCCAATGAGAATGAACTCTATCTTCAGTTTTTCATACATTACATTCAGGAATCTTAAAATAATGCCATTAAACATGCTAGTACTACAGAACCCCAGCAAAGCTATTGATTTAATTCCTTACATCAAAAGCCTACTTAGGCCAAGATGGAGAACAATGGGGTCTGGCTGTTTGTAGAGTCTCATTCCTTTGATCGCCTTTTTCTGGCTCAAAGGGGCAACCTGTGAATTTCATAGGATAATTTCATAGCTGTTTTTGCCATTTTCTTTCTCTGAAAGCACGTTATTTATTAGTGATATCCCATGCAATACTAACCAGACCTGCTTAGCTTCCAAGATATGTTGCACAGCTGCAAATAAATCTCAAAGGGGCTTATCAACAAATAAATCCTATACTCTTTTACCTAATGATAATCAGGTAAAGCAGGGAAATTTGATCAGAATTCCTCCCTCTTTGGGTATTGGGCACTGATTCTGTTGGGTTTCATTCCTGGACTGCACAAGTCTCTTCCAGTCCTCAGTGAGTAGCTAGACTAGAGGAAACATTAGGCTGAGGGATTCCTCCTGCACATTCCTATGCATGTTTACCAAAATTGGCTTTGGATTTCCTCCTTGTCACTGTCTCCATCCCCTTTGAAGGTGTAGCAATGGAATCTATATGAGAGAACTACCTTTTTAAAGTTAGTTTTATTGCCCTTGGCTTGGCCATGAGGCCATTCGCTACCATTATTTCTTCTGCCTTTGCTTCAAGTGAGGATGCATATTTTGCCTTTCTAAAGAGGCAAAATGTAGCTGCATGGATTGTTAGACTTTATACCCTTTTACCTTTCTTAGAAGATGAGACTTAGTAAGCTTGTGAGCTCTGAGACCTTTTCTATCTAGAATGTATTTCTTTTACTTCAATAAATATTTTGAACCTAAAGTTCTGACTCTGCAATCCTGTGCCATCCTAAGAAATAGAAGCTTATCCCCATTTATCACATGTAAATTTCCATTGTTTATGAGGTTTGCTTTTGGTACTCTGCGATATTTATGGTGGGATCACCCCAACTGAGGGTTATTTTTGAGTCTAACAGCTAAGGTTCCCCAACAGATTCAGTAAAATTGCACTGGATGGACTGCATCTGCTCTCCTTTCCTGGATAAGATTATTAATTATTTCTATGGGTGAGCAGATGACAACTGGAATATTGCATGTATTCTGTATCTGTGTTCTGTATCTCAAAAGCTAAAGCTGATAGAGAAAAAAACTGTGCCATTTTTGGAATCAGAGGGTCAGAAAGCTACTCACTGGAGCTGGCTATAGGGAGCATACAACTTCATTGTTGAAGCAGGTCCACTGGCTGCCAGTCTTCGACCTGGCACAATTGTAAGTGCTGGCTATGACCTTCAAAGCAATTGAACAGTGGTTCTCAATCTGTGGGTCCCCAGATGTTTTGGCCTTCAACTCCCAGAAATCCTAACAGCTGGAAACTGGCTGGGATTTCTGAGAGTTGTAGGCCAAAACACCTGGAGACCCACAGGTTGAGAACCACTGCTCTAGAATGTTGACGTCCAGGCTATTTGGCCAACCTCATCCCCTTGTAGGAACCTGCCCAAGGCCCTAAGACATTCAGGAGAGGCCCTTCTCTGGTCCCATCGCCATCTCAAGCTCAACTGGTGGTAACTCAGGCTGAGTTGCTGTTACTTTATATGCTTTTAATGATGATTAATACAGTTTTAATACTTGAAATGTTTTTAGTTGTGAGCCGCTTTGAGTCTCCATATGGAGAAAATAAATAAATAAATAAATATTATTTATTGTATCAGGAGCTAACCAAACAGTTGTATTGTATTTAAAACAAAACAAAACAATCAAACAACCCCCCAACCCCCCCAAAAAAACCCCAAAGTTTGCAGATTTGGCATTCTATTAAATGTCCTTTGACCAGTAGCTGGCCACTTGGAGTGCCTCTAATGTTGGTGTAAGAAGGTCCTCCATTGTGCATGTGGCAGGGCTCAGGGCTCAGGTTGCATTGCAGTAGGTGGTCTGTGGTTTGCTCTTCTCCACACTCACATGCGTGGGCTCCACTTTGTGGCCCCATTTCTTAAGGTTGAAGAGCATGTGGTGCCAGAGTGCAGTATGTTCAGCGCCTTCCAAGTCGCCCAGCCTTCAGTATGCCCAAGAGGCAGTCTCTCATTTGGTATCAGCCATTAATTGAGGCTCTGGGGTTGAGCCTGCCACTTTTGGACTCTCGCTTGCTGAAGTGTTCCAATGAGTGTCTCTGTAGATCTTAGAAAACTATTTCTTGATTTAAGTCTTTGTGCTGGCTGATATCCAAACAGGGGATGGGCCGGAGATGTCACTGCCTTCCTTGGTGCTTTCACTTTTGGTTGCTACTCCTGGTGGATATCAGGTGGTGCATCATCATCAACATCAACATCATTATTATTTGAAACACAACAAGGTGGGTCCACAGCAGACACTCTGTTGGCTGTTGTATTGGATCACACGTGGGACATTCCCCAAGTGTCTAGGACTGTGAGATGTATCTGGTGGCCTTTTGCAGCTGGCAGATGGTAATTTTGTCAGCGCCAATTGTGTTTAAGTGCAGGCCAAGGTCTTTAGGCACTGCACCCAGTGTGCCAATCACCACTGGAACCACCTTTACTGGCTTGTGCCAGAGTCTTTGCAGTTGGATCTTTAAATCCTCATATCCTGTCATCTTTTCCAGTTGTTTTTCTTCAATCCTACTGTCACCTGGCATTGCAACATCAACAATCCATACTTTGTTTTTTAACACGATGGTGAGGTCAGGAGTATTGTGCTCCAGAACTCTGTCTGAATTCGGAAGTCCCAGGGTAGCTTGACATGTTCATTCTCTGTAACTTTTTCCGGCTTGTGATCCCACCAGATCTTTGTTGCAGGCAAATGGTATTTGTGACACAAGCTCCAATGAATCAATCTTCTAGATATTTATTATTATTATTATTATTATTATTATTATTATTATTATTATTAAAACACAATAAGATGAGTCCACAGCAGACACTGCTGGCTGTTTTATTGGATCACACGTTGGACACTTCCCAAGTGTCTAGGACTGTGTGATGTATGGCGAATAATGCGGGCAGATCACAGTAAGGTGGCCTTCTACAGTGGGTCGATTGTGTTTAAGTGCAGGCCAAGGTCTTTAGGCATTGTACCACTGGGACCACCTTTACTGGCTTGTGCCAGAGTCTTTGCAGTTCGATCCTCAAATCCTCATATCTTGTCAGCTTCTCCAGTTGTTCCTCCTCCTCCTCCTCCCCCTCCTCCTCCTCCTCTTCTTCTTCTTATATCCCGAAACAGATCTAACACATGAGGCACCAAAATATGTGTTGGCCAGTGTAATCCTTTAGTTTTAGTTTAAGCTTTGGCCAGTGTAATCCTTGTAGTTTTAGAAGGCCTCTAACCTTCTCTGCCAAAGAGTGCCGGTGTCTCACCAAACTATAGATCTCACGATTCCAATAGCAATGGGCCATGGCAGTTAAAAGAGGTGTCAAACTCCATCCATCCTCCAATGTAGGTGCATCTCAGGACCCAGAGTATAATGTGTGTGTGTGTGTGTTTACAAATCACCAGCCTTTCCAGAGAAGCATTTGTATGTTGTTGAAAAACACAATCAAGGCAGCAGGAGGGATGTGTTTCCATTTCGACCTTTTCCAGGGCTCAGGATCGATTTTCTGCTCAACTTTCCAAAAGCTGCGCCTGGACCCCATTGGCTGCCCTGTTCTTATTCTCAGGGTCTTGGAAAGACACGAATGGGGTCTGCGCGTCGCAGTGACGTGTGACCTCCTCGATGTCAACAAAGGGCCTCGAAAACACAAAAGGGAAGCCAAGCGTTTTCCAGCCAGCCCCGCTTCGGAGTTCTCCGTCAACACGTTTTGCAATAAAACCCCTTTTAATCCGCTCCATTTCTGCGATACAAACTATACCCCGAGTAGTGAGGGGAGGGGAGGGGGATTGCAGAGGCCAAGAACGATTAACATCTGGCGAGAACAGAAAGCAAATGGCAGAAGCGCCGTCCCCATTGAGCCTTTGATCAAGTTAGTTTTATGCTCCAAACCTGCGTAAAGAATGCGAAGTACTTTCCCAGCATTTGCAGATGTTTGCGATATTTTTGACCTGGTGGCACAAATGGAGTCCAACCCTTTAAGTCCCCAGAAAGGTCTGCCGGGGTAGATCGGATCTGGGCCAACTTGGGCCCTCCAGGTGTTTTGGACTTCAACTTCCACCATTCCTAACAGCTTCAGGCCCTTTCCTTTTGCCCTTCGGCCGCTTAAGCGTCTGAGGGGCAAAAGGAAGGAGCCTGAGGCTGTTAGGAATGGTGAGAGTTGAAATCCAAAACACCTGGAGGGCCCAAGTTGGCCCAGGCCTGCTCTGCACTGTCATGGAATCCAGGTCAACTGCCATGGTTCAATGTTAAGGAATCATGGGAGTTGTAGTTTCGCTTGTGGAGCCAAGGGGGATATCAGATTCGAAGAGATTTGTGGCTGGCCAGGTGACCCGCTTTCTCTTTCCGTTCAGGCTGACCAACTTCTCCTCAACTTTCTTCTTCTGCCTCGGGAAAGGCAGCCGCGATTCAGATCAGAGACGAAAACGACCTCTTTGAAGTTTCTCAGAAACCGGTTCAGAAAACCTGGTGGGTTAGAGACCAGGTAAGGAACCCTGCGCGGAAGTTCCACGGGTGTGTGACTCCATAGCATTGAGCCAAGATATTTCAGTCTAGCTCCACTCCAAGTTTTACCTCCAGATCAAGAAGTCAGGAACCTAAGCGAAGCACCTTTGAAAGTTCTCGGCAACACCTGGGCAGAGGAACCATTTAGAAGGACGGGGTGGCTTGGCCGGTTTAGTTTTCAGACTTCCAGGCTTTTTAAAATGTCTTTTTTAACCACGCGAATACTTTCCAAGTTATCTCAAATAAACACATTTTTCACAATGTAAATTTAAATGTCTACAATACAATTTCCATTTCCTCCTGTATTGAAGAAGAGAATGCTACGTTACATATTCCTTCCTTCTTTACTCCCTTTCTCCTTTCTTTCTTTCCTCCCTCCCTTCTTCCTTCCTTCTTTTCCTTCTCAATTCCTTCCTTCTTTCTTTCCTCCCTTCTTTCCTTCTTTCTTTCTTTCTTTCTTTCTTTCTTTCTTTCCTCCCTCCTTTCTTATTTATTTATTTATTTATTTATTTATTTCCTTCTCCTTTCCTTCATTCTTCCTTCCTTTCTTTCCTTCTCCCTTACTTCCTTCTTTCCTCCCTCCCTTCTTTCCTTCCTTCCTTCCTTCCTTCCTCCTTTCTTTTTTATTTCTTTCTTTCCTTTCTTCCTTCCCCCTTCCTTCATTCTTCCTTCCTTTCATTCTCCCTTTCATCTTCCTCCCGCCTTTCTTTCTTCTTCTTTCTTTCCTTCTCCCTTCTTCTTCCCTCCTCCTTCTTCCCTCCCTTCTTTCCTTCTTTCCTTCCTTCCTTCCTTCTTTCCCTCCCTTTTCTTTTTTCTTTCTTTCTTCCCTCCCTCCCTCCCTCCCTCCTTTCTTTCCTTCTTTCTTTCCTTCTCCCTTCCTTTCTTCCTCCTTCCTTCCTTTTTTCCCTCTTCCTTTCTTTCTTTCTTTCTTTCTTTCTTTCTTTCTTTCTTTCTTTCTTTCTTTCTTTCTTTCCTTCTTTCCTTCTTTCCTTCCTTCTTCCTTTCTTTCTTTCTTTCTTTCTTTCTTTTTTCTTTCTCCCTTCCTTCCTTCCTTCCTTCCTTCCTTCCTTCCTTCTTCCTTCCTTCCTTCCTTCCTTCCTTCCTTCCTTCCTTCCTTCCTTTTTTGCCTTTTTTGTCCTTGATCCGTTTTGTCGGGTCTTGCAGTTTAGGAAATCAGAGCCCGGCATTTTGCAAGCATTTTAAAATCTCCAACTTTTATTTAAGTTTATTTCTTCTTTCTTGGAAAACTTAGGTCAGATCTACACTGTCCTATAATGCAGTTTGAACTGCACCGAACTGCACGAGATGGGTCTACTCTGACCATACAATGCAGTAAAAACTGCGTTATATGGTAGCGTGGATCCAGCTTTATTAAAAACTATATTGTTTGCACCCTAACATTTCGAAGGTAAACAGGCTAATAGGCGACTCGTTCCTATACATTTTTATTCCGAAATAAATCCATGTACATTACCGTGTTTTGCAGTCTTAGCACTGTTTTTCCACCTCCAAGAAATGGGCTGTAGAATAAATTGAACTCGACCTTTCTCGAAGGGAAAAATACTAGAATGGAGGTGAGTTATTCTGCATTGTTCCGTTTTAAAAAGAAAATTCAGCCACTCTTTTGCAATATGTTTTTCCTAGGTTCCCACACAGAATCAATGCGGTTTACATTCCAGGAAAAAAGGCTGGATCGACACTGCTAAATAATAATAATAATAATAATAATAATAATAATAATAATAATAATAATAATAATAATAATAATATCCCTGCCACCATCTTTATATTATTATTATTATTATTATTATTATTATTATTATTATTATTATTATTATTATGCAGTGTAGACCCAACCCTTTTTCCTGGAATGTAAACTAACAACAACAATAATAACACTACTAATAATAATAATATTTATATCCCCGCCACCATTTTTATAATAATAATAATAGTAATATTATTTATTTATTTATTTATATCCCCACCACCATCTCCCAAAGGGGACTCGGGGAGGCTCACAAAAACACGTGGCAGTGCAGAAGAAGATACAAATACAGTTAAACACATAACAATCGTAAACAACAACAAAAACAGTAAAATACAACAGATGTACATAAATAATGGACTATGAACTGCATTATATGGTCAGTGAGAGGCATAGAATGCAATGTGAACTGCATTATATAGGTCTACATTGACCATATCATGTAGTTCAAACAATTTAGCTCCAGCCCCAGTTTAAGGTTGAGGGTTGTAATCAGGATCACAGGAAACCGAGCAAATGTCGCTTATTGACTTCAGAGTCTGCATCTGATAAAGAAGGCTTGAAGTCCTCCAAAGTTTACGCCATAATAAAGAAGTTAGACTCCGGGTAGTTCTACACTGCCATATAATGCAGTTTGAATTCTATTATATGTCAGTATAAAATCTTATAATGCAATCCTATGCCGTTCAGACTGCATTATATCATTCTATACTGCCCCTATAATGCACTTCCTTTTTTTCTTTCCTCCCTCCCTCCTTTTTTATTTCTTTCCTTTCTTCTTTCATTTCTCTCTCTCTCTCTTTCTTTCTTTCTTTCCTTCTCCCTCCCTCCTTCCAGGATATGGCAGTGTGGAACCACCCTCTAAAGCAGGTATGGGCAAACTTCAGCCCTCCAGGTGTTTTGGACTTTCAGTCCCATTGTGAGAGCTGAAGTCCAAAACACGTGGAGAGCCAAAGCTTGTCCATGTCTGAGCTAAAGATTCTTGTAGCTTTTCCTATACAGTTCATTTTAGCATCTTTCCTCCTTAATACTCCGGCTGAACACCTGTGTATCCCTTTCAGAGTTCAAAACCGCCCCTGCTCGTTATCCCACCAGATATTCTGAACTACATATCCCATCAGACTAATACTACAGTAATGGGACTTGCTGTGCAAAACCAACACCACCTTTGGGAAACAGCATTACAGAAAAGGGAGAGCTAGAAGCGGAAAGCCCCTGGTGGCGCAACCACTGAGCTGCTGGAATCCGGGGAGCGAGGTGAGCTCCCGCTGTTAGCCCCAGCTTCTGCCAACCTAGCAGTTCGAAAACACGCAAATGTGAGTAGATCAATAGGTACCGCTTAGACAGGAAGGTAATGGCGCTCCATGCAGTCATGCCAGCCACATGACCTTGGAGGTGTCTACAGACAACGCCGGCTCTTCGGCTTAGAAATTGAGATGAGCACCAACACCCAGAGTCTGACACGACTGGACAATATCAGGGGAAAACCTTTACCTTACCTAGAGGCGGAGAAGAATATTTAGGGTAATTTGGATTGCTGTGAGTTTTCCTTTCCAGAAGCATTCTCTCCTGACGTTTCGCCTACATCTATGGCAGGCATCCTCAGAGGTTGTGAGGTCCTGTTATATTATATGTTATATTTCTTGTTGCTATGATAATAATCCGCCACTCCACCCCGTCGCCGTTTGATATGCATTTCATCCTCACCGTTACATAACCGACTTGTATTGTTAATAATGCTAAAGCTATGTAGATATATCCAACTCCAGTCTTAACAGTATAAAATGTAGTGTTGTTTAGAGTTTCCTAAACAAAGACAGGCTGATGGAAGAATGTCTTCAGGACAATAAATGATTACATATTATGCTAAAATGCACTGGATGGATTTTTAAAAAGCTGGATCTACACTGACCATACAATGCAGTGTTTCTCAACCTTTCTAATGCCGCGACCCCTCAATACAGTTCCTCATGTTGTGGTGACCCCCCCAACCATAAAATTATTTTCGTTGCTACTTAATAACTGTAATTTTGCTACTGTTATGATTCGTAATGTGGATATCTGATATGCAGGATGTATTTTCATTCACTGGACCAAATTGGGCAGAAATATCCTATACCCTCAAATCTGAATACTGGTGGGATTGGAGGGGGGATTGATCTTGTCATTTGGGAGTTCTAGTTGCTGGGATTTATAGTTCACCTACAATCAAAGAGCATTCTGAATTCCACCAACGATGGAATTGAACCAAACTTGGCTCATAGAACTCCCATGACCAACAGAAAATAATGGAAGGAATTGGTGGGCATTGACCTTGAGTTTTGGAGTTGTAGTTCACCTACATCCAGAAAGCACTGTGGACTCAAACAATGATGGATCAGGACCAAACTTGGTACGAATACTCAATATGCCCAAATGTGAACACTGGTGGAATTTGGGGGAAATAAACCTTGACATGTGGGAGTTGTAGTTGCTAGGATTTATAGTTCACCTACAATCAAAGAGCATTCTGAACCCCACCAACAATGGAATGGACCACATTTCCCACACATAATTCCCATGACCAACAGAAAATACTGCGTTTTCTGGTGGTCTTTGGCGACCTTCCTTCCGACCCTCAGGTTGAGAAAGCTGGTCTAAATGATTACCTACACAGACCATTTAATGCATTATGTGGCTCTGAAGTGACCACGCAATAAAGTTGAAACTGCATGATTTGGCAGTGTAGATCCTGCCCTCGACAAATGGATGAAAGTTACCCCATCAGTTAAATAATATTCAATACTTTGAACAGTCCTAAAACCGGCTTCATTTAAATCTGCGAGGTTATCATACTTTATGCAGGTGTGCATGTATTTATTTTTACTCCCTCTTCCTTCCAATATAGGGATTCAATAAACAATAACCATGACACAATGCAAGTGAAAACAATGTAAATGTGTCTATATATATATATATATATATATATATCTCCAGCTCTTTGTCTCCCTAAACCATTAAACATTACAAATATTACAGTACCACCCATTATACTTAATACATATTTAAATCCCAAAATATTATTTTTAAAGAAACAGAAGCAATAACGACAAAGGTGCATTTACACATTGCAGAATTAATGCCCCTCGACACTACTTTAAGTGCTAGGGCTCAATCCTGGGAGTTGTAGTTGGATGAGGCACCAGCACTCCTTATCAGAGAAGGCTAAAGGCCTTGGAAAAACTACAACTCCCAGAATTCCTTCACATTGAACCATGGCAGCTAAAGTCAAATCGGATTGATGCTACAGTGTAGATGCGCTCTTAGAAAGAATCGAAATCCCATTTTCCTAGTTTGCAAAAGACCTCACAACCTCTGAGGATGCCTGCCATAGATGCAGGCGAAACGTCAGGAGAGAATGCTTCTGGAACATGGCCATGCAGCCCTGAAAATAAGTCGAAATCTCCTTAATGTTTTAATCCATGATAATGGTATCCTTGGGAGCCCCCGGTGGCGCAGTGGGTTAAAGCACTGAGCTGCTGAGCTTGTTGATCGAAAGGTCGCAGGTTCGATTCCAGGGAGCGGTGTGAGCTTCCGCTGTCAGCCCTAGCTTCTGCCAACCTAGCAGTTCGAAAACATGCAAATGTGAGTAGATCAATAGGTACCGCTCCGGCGGGAAGGTAACGGCGCTCCATGCAGTCATGCCGGCCACATGACCTTGGAGGGTCTACGGACAACGCTGGCTCTTCGGCTTAGAAATGGAGATGAGCACCACACCCCAGAGTCAGACATGACTGGACTTAATGTCAGGGGACTACCTTTACCTTAATGGTATCCTTAAAGGAAAAACATGCTGTGGTTTCCCCAAAAATGGATTATTACACTTCCAAAAAATACAAGAAAAATATTCACCCAACTCAAGCTGTCTGTCGAGAACAACCAAGATCTGCCCAGTACAAGTCTACTTTGAAGAAGATCCAAGTGAATGCAATGGCGCTCATGCCCAACCAGACAAATATAGGGGCTGCAGCCAAAATGTTGTTTCCTCCCCTGGAAATGTAGAGTAGATCCCAGCAACAGACCATTTCCTCCCGTTGTAAACGTTACTCGGTGGCAGCCATCTCCCAATAATACCACCCCCCCCCCCCAACTCTTTCAAGCGACAGCTGCGGGCTCAGGGCTGTAACGCAAGCCAATAATGTCTGGCAGTGTTTTGAAGTCTGTTTACATGTTGGGGCTCACACATTTYGCTTTGTAGTTTAACATCTTGATTATATTCTTTGTAAATCATGTTCTGAGCATTTYTATTCTGGGCGGGGGGGGGGGAAGGGGAGAGGAGCATTTCAATTTTAAGGACCTCATCACGCTAGAGAATGAGTCCACTTTAAATCCGGTTTCTGTCTCCTGCAGAATTCTGGGGTTTGTAGTTTAGGGAGGAGCCTTTAAAAGCCTCCATAAACTACAAACCCCAGAAKTCTTCAGGAGGCAGAAACCGAATTTAAAGTGGATTCATTCTCTAGGGTGATGAAGTAGTTAGGAAACCCTAAACATAAACAACACTACATGTTGTACTGTTAAGACTGGAGTTGCATATATCTATATAGCTTTAGCATTATTAACAAAAACAAGTCGGTTATGTAACGTTGAGTTGAGGGTGAAATATATATCAAACGGAGACGGGTGAAGTGGCAGATTATTATCATGGCCTGTTGAAGGCTCCTCCTAAACTACAAACCCCAGAATTCTGCAGGAGGCAGAAACTGGATTGAAAGCGGAATCATTCTCTACTGTGAGGAGAATAGTGATTTCAAAACACATCCCGGTACATTTCCATATAAATAATCTGTGTACATTTAAACCACCTTGTACTCCGCCTTGAGGAGAAACAACAACAACAACCACCACCAGCCATCGTTTGGTAGTCTAGACCAGACATGGGCAAACTTGGACCCTCCAGATAGAATCAAAGAGTTGGACGAGACCTCACGGGCCATCCAGTCCAACCCCCTGCCGAGAAGCAGGAAAATTGCATTCAAAGCACCCCCAACAGATGGCCATCCAGCCTCTGTTTAAAAGCTTCCAAAGAAGGGGCCTCCACCACACTCCAGGGCAGAGAGTTCCACTGCTGAACGGCTCTCATAGTCAAGAAGTTCTTCCTCATGTTCAGATGGAATCTTCTTTCTTGTAGCTTGAAGCCATTGCTCCCCGTCCTAGTCTCCAGGGCAGCAGTAAACAAGCTCGCTCCCTTTTCCCTATGACTTCCCCTCACATATTTCTACATGGCTATCATGTCTCCTCTCAGCCTTCTCTTCTTCAGGCTAAACATGCCCAGTTCCCTAAGCCGCTCCTCATAGGGCTTGTTCTCCAGACCCTTGATCATTTTAGTCGCCCTCCTCCTGACACATTCCAGTTTGTCAATATCTCTCTTCAATTGTGGTGCCCAGAATTGGACACAATATTCCAGATGTGGTATAACCAAGGCAGAATAGAGGGGTAGCATGGCTTCCCTGGATCTAGACACTATCCTCCTATTGATGCAAGCCAAAATCCCATTGGCTTTTTTGCCGCCACATCACATTGTTGGCTCATGTTTAACTTGTTGTCCAGGAGGACTCCAAGGTCTTTGTGGACAACAAGTTAAACATGAGCCAAAAAAAAAAAAAGCCAATGAGATTTTGGCCTGCATCAATAAAGAGCACAGTGTCTAGACATAGTTTTGAACTTCAACTCCCACAATTCCTAACAGCACCAGGCCCTTTCCTTTCCCCCATCAGCCACTTAAGTGGAATTGTGAGAGTTGAAGTGACTTAACTTCTCATTCATGTGGTCCTTGAGCCAGATTTTCAATACTTTTTATTTTATTTTATTTTAGATCGACGTTGAAGGAAAGGACATCCCAAAACACAGAGACCAATATGCTTTGGCTACGACCCCTGTGGACTCAAATCTGCACTCTCTCAGGTCAAGTCACACTCTCTCAGTGGAAGGAAAAAGCAACCCCATTTTGAATAAACATTGTCAAGAAAACTCTGTGATAGGTTCGCTTTTGGGGCGCCATAGGTCGGAAATAGACGAAGGCATACAACAAGGGCTTCTATTCTATTAGCTGCTTTGTGTGTGTGCCTTCAGGTGCCCTGCGGATTTATGGCTTCCTTCTTCTGAAATAAAGGCTACAGCATCTAGTATTCTTTGCTGGTCTTCCATCCAAGTACTAACCAGGGCTGACTTTGTTTAGCTTCCAAGATCAAACGGGTATTAGATTGGCTACAGTTGGAAGTTGTTTAGACTTCTGTGAATTTTGCTTCAGCAATGGAACCTTCTTTTGGGTTGTTGTGAGTTTTCCGGGCTGTATTTCCATGTTCCAGAAGCATTCTTTCCTGACGTTTCGCCTGCATCGCCCGCAAAACTCACAGCAAACCACTATTATTCCCTTGTTTCCATGGCATTCAGCCATGGCAATTAAAGTGGTGTCAAAACTGTATTAATTGTACACTGTAGGTTACAATTTTCCAATCTTCCACTGTCGAAAGAGCTCCGAATCGACATCTTCATCTCTCCAGTCTCTGTCAGGCATAGATTTTGGTCATCTCAGTTTTCAAACACCATATTAAACACCCTCAATATCTTGACATTACATTATACATCCACAAAAGGTGTGCATTTATTAAATCGAGGGGTAGTCTAGACAACCCTGACGATGGAGGAGAGAATACTTGGAAAACAAGGGGATTTYTTCTCTCTTCTCAGAAAATCGACTCTCACATTTCTAGGGAAACCAGTCATGAGAAACGGTGTAAAAGCAAACCTGGGGGGGGGGGGGGGGTTGAAATTGCAACACACAGAATCTCCAGTCTTCTTGCGGATTCTGGGAGCTGTAGTCCAAAACAAGGTCTGCCAAGGGAGATATAAACCTCATTTTTGCTTGGGGCGGTATTTTCGGTGTCATTTGAAGACTTTCCGTTTGATTCTCCCCATCACAACCACCTTTCAGACTCTTCTTGGGGAGAGGAAGTGAGATTTTTTGTTTTCAGTCTGGTTACAGGCAGTTTCGAACAAGATAGGTTCTGTGGGCTTCTGGGTTGCTGTGAGTTTTCCTTACTGTGAGAGCCATTCAGTAGTGGAACTCTCTGCCCCAGAGTGCGGTGGAGGCTCCTTCTTTGGAGGTTTCTAAACAGAGGCTGGATGGTCATCTGTCAGGGATGCTTTGAATGCAATATTCCTGCTTCTTGGCAGGGGGTTGGACTGGATGGCCCATGACGTCTCTTCCAACCCTATGATTCTATGATTCCGGGCTGTATGGCCAGCTTGATTAGCTTTGAATGGTCTTGCAGCTTCAAAGCCTAGCTAGTTGCTGCCTAGGGGAATCCTTTGTTGGAAGGTGTTAGCTGGCCCTGATTAATTCTTGTATGGGATTTCCCTGCTTTTTGAGTGTTGGTCTTTATTTACTGTCCTGATTGTAGAGTTTTTTAAATACTGGTAGCCAGATTATGTTCATTTTCATGATTTCCTCCTTGCTGCTGAAATTGTCCACCTGCTTGTGGATTTCAATGGCTTCTCTGTGTAGTCTGACATGGTAGTTGTTAGAGTGGTCCAGCATTTCTGTGTTCACAAATAATTACACACACACATATATAAAAAAACTCACTTGCCCAGTTTCCAACAGACCCCTCAATCTCTGAGGATGCCTGCATAGATTATTCAGGATAATAACAAGAGCAAAAACAATAACAAGAGCAGGAAGCAGCCAGGCTTTGAAGCTGCAAGGCCATTCAATGCTAATTAAGTTGACCAGCTGCAACATTCACATTTACCTCCAGCAGACAAGAGTTCTTTATCCCACCCTGAATGTTCCACAGATATATAAACCTCACTTGCCTAGTTTCCAACAGACCTCACAACCTCTGAGGATGCCTGCCATAGATGTGGGTGAAATTTCAAGAGAAAATGCTTCTAGAACATGGTCATCCAGCCCGGAAATCTCACAGCAACCCCGTGATTCCGGCCATGAGACCCTTTGAAAACACATTCTGTGGGTTTGTTCTTAAGTTGAATTTGTATGTAAGTTAGAACGGGTACATTTTATAGCTTTGGATGGCATAGGAAAGAGTTAACACCCCTGTTGTGTTTGTTTTGCTGCTTGTGCACCTGTCCAGAAGATTTCACCTCACTTTCTGTCCCTGTGATAACTGGATTTTGGAAAAATTGGCTTGTGGAAACAAGGATTGGTGAGAAACTGGGTTGTTGTGAGTTTTCTAGACCACGTTCCATGGCCATGTTCCAGAAGCATTCTCTCCTGACTTTTTGCCTTCATCCATGGCGGACATTCTCAGAGGTTGTGGGGTCTGTTGGAAACTAGGAAAATTGGGTTTATATATCTGTGGAATGTCCAGGCTGGGAGAAAGAACTCTTGTCTGTTGCAGGTAGGTGTGAATGTTTCAACTGGTCACATTGATTAGCATTAGGTGATTAGCAATCACCTCCCAACAAAGGATTCCCCCAGGCAGTAAGAAGTCACACCTTGAAACTCTTAGACAATACATTGGTGAGAAAGCTTCACCTGAGGCACCTTTCCCTCATGATAACTCTTTCAGGGATGAATTTCCCTTCATAGGGGTAGATATCTCTCACTTCCTGTTGTCTCAGCCCTGTTCTTAACTATGAGTGGTTTGTAAGTCTGATGTTTACAGAGTGTATTCAGATATAGATCGAAATGCAAAAGGAGCATTTCATTTGAGACCTTTAATATCTGCTTCCTTTGGCGACTGCGAGGACCCCTGAATAATTTATTCCGAGTGCCAAATGCAACTAGCATTTCTTGAAGAAATTAAAGAGTTTGGTGGATGGAATGCTCTGATTTGTATTCATTTTCTTTTGTTTTAGGGAGCCGGAAGATGTGTTAGAGATCAATGGAAACTTAATAAACAGGGTGCAGGGGGTAGGATGTGGGGGGGGGGGGGAATCAAAGAAGTAATCCAGCCAAGCCTTCTTATAATAAAACAGCTGGCGTTAATAATTCAGAACTCCCAAATAAACAAATCATTGGATTATAGCGCAAGATGAGAATTGATGCATTTCAGTGGCAATCCGGACAGACAAGGCAATAATATTTTATTTCACCTTCCAATAAATTATCCCAGGAAAAAGTTCTCTCTCCAAGTAGCTTTTCATAGCTTTCTGCTGAAGGTGAAAGAACTTCCTCCCTCCCTTTCCCCCCATTAATTTTCTTTTTGCAGTTCTAACAACTCTGCTGATGAAATTAATGGAAAAAGTAATATTTTTCTTGCCTGCCGAAATAAAGGCAAGATGGTGGAAATGGAATTAGCTGTCAACATTTGCTCCGGATTTAATAATGAAAAAAGAAAACTTTGTGGATTCTAATGCCAAGAACAAGCTCAGGTTTGGTCCTTCCAGTTCTTAAGCTCCTTTCGATTTTACTTTCTCCCCCTTTACCCCTAATGCATTTTTGAAGCTAAGGGTATTGTTCTTCTGCAGGTATTTCCAATTAAAGTGCCCAAACCTAACTGCAGAAATATTATAGCCAATACAATAATAATTATATTGTCGAAGGCTTTCCTGGCTGGAATCACTGGGTTGTTGTGAGTTTTTTGGGGCTGTATGGTCATGTTCCAGAAACATTCTCTCCTGATGTTTCACCCACATCTATAGCAGGCATCCTCAGGGGTTGTGAGGTCTCACTTGCCTAGTTTCCAACATACTTCACAACCTTTGAGGATTCTTGTCATAGATACAGGCGAAACATCAGGAGAGAATGCTTCTGGAACATGGCCATACAGCCCGAAAAACTTACAACAACGCAATAATAATTATCTGGAAGTGCATAGAAGGTTTTTTATTTGGGAAGTACTTGAAGCAGACTGGTTGAATTCTTTGGCTTTGTTCCAAACAGAGCTGATCCATTGAATCAGTAGTCAACATGTAGGCAAATCCATTTGACTCAATGGCAATAGGTTTTAGGCCAGAATCTGTTGGAAACAGCAACCTTCTTCACACCTCCCATACTAGTTATTTGTTTGTATATATAATTCAGATTGCTTACTGTATTGTATATATGTGTATTGGTATGCAGTTTTCCTTAACTCTATGTTGTGGGTGGGACTGCAGACCATGTGATCAGTTCTGGGACTACTCAGCTCAGACTCCATTTCAGAAAGAGAGACTTCATTAGACTTTTAGAACAGAGAGATGCTTTAGACCAGGCATGTGTAAACTTTGGCCCTCCATGTGTTTTGGACTTCAACTCCCACAATTCCTAACAGATTATATGAAAGATGCCCTGTTTTATCTACACAGACAAACTACTTCAAATCCTATCTGTAACCGGATTGATAAGCAATGTACCTGTATGTTGAATACATGAAGTTTGTGAGCAAACTATGTTATTTTAATGAAGATTGCCTTATTTTGGGTCTCTTGAGAGCATGATTTAAAAGAAAGATGTTTTAAGGGAGAGTAGATATTTTTGGACAACTGAAATAACACTTCTGAAACTGCTGTTTTTTGTATATTGGCATGTATTTTTGTGTATTTGCTCCTAACAGTTCAAAGAGATATCTAGGTATATCAGTCTAACAGCTGAGAAACCTAATTGCCTCGCACAAATACTAGTGGATATTTATTACTAAGGAGAAGTATGTTTTTAATTCTTCTCATGAAGATCATACTTTACAAAAGGTTAGGATCTCTAACAAGGTCATGTATTTCCAAAAGGTTATAATTATTCCAAATAGTGCCAATTAATCTTCAAAAGTTTTCCTAAATGGTTTGGAATCCCGTTTTCCAAAAGGGAACCTACTTTTACAAAACAGGGATAGATTGGGATTAAGTTGGTCATGTTTTATTAATGCTGAGCAAAATATGTTCCTAGTAGTTTGGAGAAATGTCTCTTATGGTAAAGGCCCTTGAACACATGGATACAGTTAAAAGCCATGTGGTAAGTATGAGTGCATAAATAAAAGAAAATGTGAAACATGGATCAAAAACTCCCATATACACTGCCAAATAATGCAATACACTGCATTATATGAGACTACGGCCTCTTCCACACTGTGCCTATATCCCAGGATCTTATCCCAGATTATCTTCTTATCCCAGATTATCTGGCAGTGAGACTCATATAATCCAGTTTAAAGCAGATCATTTGGGATCAGATCCTGGGATATAGGAA